CTATTGAAAAACAAATAATTTTTTTTTAATTTTGTTTTTTGATTGTTTTATATTTGAAACTTACTCCTTTTTTGTAATTTTTATTGGTTAAATCTGAAACATATCATTTTGATGGAAATTTCAATTGTTTTATTTATTGCACAGCTATTAAAATACTGCCTAGTTATAAAAAATATTACCCAGTTATGTTAGTGATGGTCGGTGCGGTAGTTCCGAGTTTTGGACATATACATCGCAAGCTCCAATATAATATGTCTGATTAGTATTACTTAGAAAATGAATTTTCAACTTAAATTAGCATTATAGAAAACAAACATTTATTGAACTTACAATTAACTCCATTTATTTGTTTCCGTTTTGATTCTGTCAACCATGAAAGTAAGAGGTAATTATTAACTCCACGTTAAAACCACGAGTTCGACTGTTCAAGTAGTTGTGCACATAGACTTGATATACGTATATTTAGTCCTTGTGCAAGGTGTTTTAGTGCTCTCTGATGAATATTATGAAATGTATAAAATATGATCTTGTAATATTATTTGCGATTAAAGTTCTTTACCGTGTGAATAATTTTAAAAGTATACATTCGATGAGATAATGTGTTCGTATCCTTTTATGATTTGTAATACGTGGAAATAACTAATTAAAAATTCTAAATTATTGCTCCTTTGGCTTGTTTCATATCTTGTTACATCAAATATCTCAACTTTCTCTGAAAAAACAAAGAGTATAACTCAAAATACAACATACATGTAGATATTTAATTATCAAGAAAACACCATAGAATGGCTACAATAAATAATTTCCTATTTTATAAACATGTTACGCAGATTTTACGTTATATTAACCATTTGCATTATATCGTTGCTGTTTTTTTAGAGTCGGGCCCCTAAAACGTTATGAATATCATATCAATGTTTATTATTTAAAGAAGTGTTCTTGTAAAAATTGTTGCTAGAACCAGCTGTATGTGTGTTCGTTTGTAGTGTGATGCACAAGATTAAAAGATATTGCTTTTTCGATGGCCACAATTGTTCGAATTTTAGCTTTGAGGTTGTTTGTTTCAGAGCTATCTGCTATGTTTACTGCGGGGAATCGAACTCAGGATTTTAGTGTTGTATGTCGTAAACTTATCGCTGTCCCACCAGAGGACAAAATTACATAATGAACTGTCTGTACCGTGGCAACCACTGTTATCGAAACCTGATATTTACCGTTACAAGCCCTAAGACTTACCTAATTTTGGATATGACCATTCCAATAAAAAAAATATATATAGAGGAGGATGTAATCTCAATGTATTATCTGACCCACCTTTGGAAAAGATCAACGCTGGCCTTTACACAGTTATTCTACTTGACAGCAACCTTACCTACTAAAAAGCGCACGTGATACCATAGAGGAATGACCCAAAGCAATAGTTAACTAAATAAAAAGAAACTTAGATTATTTGACCAACGTTCTTGAAAAATAAAATCTAGGTGCATTTTTAAGATTACACTTTACTAAATAAGAGAGATAGAAAACTCACAATGTGCTTACATTATATAATGTATAGAGGAAGAGGATAATTAGCAGTTTGTTCATTTGACATACGGGGTTAGGGTAATGTAAATATCTGTAAAATACATTACTATTTATTTTAAATAATGTTTTTTGTTGTGTTAAAAATATTTATTAACGATATCATGCAAGTCAAATAAGCTAAGCATTACAGCTAAAAGGAAGAAAATGTTATTTGTGGTGGATTAAGTAAATTAGGGGTTGCATGTAACAAACTTTTTAAAAAAGATTAACACGTTTAATTATAAGAATATTTTTTCATAATTTTTGTTACTTAACACTAAAACAATGATGCAATATTGCTTCTTTTGATTGTTCATATACATATATATTTATTAATTTGGCATATTTTAATTTTTCATACGAAAGTTTTACATCATTCGGTTAAGAATCTTAGCTCTGGCCTAGTAAATTTAGTCTGTTAGGTAAAAGCCACTTATTTTACATAATATTCAATGTTGCAGTTGGGAAACTTTATTCTAAACTTAAAACAATTTAGGAATGTAAAGTGAACTTATATAAATACACAGAACGCGATGGTTTCTTACCTTTACAGAAGTGATGTCACAGTCATTATGACTTTTCTGTCTGATATACAGGATTATGGAAGAATCCCCATTCGTTTTCTATAAGCTGTTTAGGATGTAGAGAATTCTTCTATGGTCCCTTATTATAATTGAGAAGCTAGTAGAACTTCATGTTTTCCTATCTCAATCAAGAGTATTATCTTAACTGAAAATATAGTAGGATATTCATGGTTTTATTCGAACAATTTGCTGGTAAAATTTTCATGGTTTCATATCTTAACAGTGTAATCTCTATGGTTCCCTGCCTTTAGTTAATATGCTAGTGACTGGATTTTCCATGGCTTAATTCTTATTTTGATGAATATGATAATCTAAATTTCCTGTGTTAATCAAGGGATTGGTAGAATATCGTTGAGTTACTGCATATGTATGGTGAAAATATTTAAATTTCTGCTGTAACTTATAATTATGGAACTAGTGAATAAAATGGACATAACATCTAAATAACGTGGTATGGCTTCCCTCCAATGTTTGGAAAACGAACCGCAACATAATATAGTTATGCGTTGATAGCTTATTAGTAAAAACTTATGAATGAAGATAAAGAATAGTGATAACCACACTACACCTGTTATATCCATTGCCGACGAGGTTTTTCGCCCAATGCCAAGGCTCTTCAGGCGGGTTGGTATACGACAAACATGTTAGTTGTTGAGACGCTACTTATATTAGCAAACTGTTCGACAATAACCGTTACATATCAGAATTAAGATCAGGATTTTATAACCCAATATTATGTATTTTAAAACCACGTATTACACAGTGATTAACTACCACTTAACGAATCAGACAGTGCCACATCATCATGATGCCTATAAATGCACGGGCAGTCATATTCTTTTCAGCGATAGTTTACTAATGTACTTATGTCTCCCTGTATAGAAAATCCAAATGATAAACGTATAGAAAAGCTGATAAAGTATATTTCACGCGATAGATTGAATTGAAATTTTATGTTTCAGTAAGAATTGTTTTGGAGACTCTGAAGAGGGTATGTTAAACTAGTACTAAGATTATAGAAGCGGTCGAGGTAGAGAACACAGACTGTTTAAAGTGATAACAAGTAACTAGGTGTATGCTCGTTACGTCACACATGAGAACCCAGTAGAAATCTTGCCACTGACCTTAACTGTAAGTGCAAGTGTGAATACTACCTCCAGAATAGTTAGCAAGATAAACATTAGCACGAAATGGCCTTATAGGATGTGTGGCTGCTCAAAAACTACTACTTTGGAGAGATAACCAAACCATAAGGCTGAAATGATCATCAGACTTCAAGCAATGAGACGAGCAAACTTGGAGAGAATAGTATTCTTTATATAATAGATGAATCCAAATTCAAATTGTTTATCAACAATCAAGATAGTTTGTTTATGATGTTAGGAGAACATGTAGGTTCAATAAATCATTTTAACACAAAAATACGATGCCATATAGTCCAAGCGCTTTCGAAAGGTGGACATTTCTTCTTCAGGGGCAAACTAGGAGTTTATTCGATGTCAAAAAAGAAAGGTATCACGGTCAATGTACTGTACATCTACTGTGAAGCATGCTGGGGGCAATACAAGTATGGGATGTATCTCAACCGATGGTTTTGGAGATCTACATAAAATTTATGGCACCATGTTTGCTGACAGGTACAAACAGATTCTTATTCATCTTGTCATTCCTGCAATAACAAAGCCTATTGAGCAAGGATTTATAATTCAGCAAGACAAGCGATCCTAAGAATTCAGCGGAATGTGGCGAGATGATATGGTAAAACTGGTCGTGGGTTTATGGGCTTAAATTGAAACTGAAAAGATGAAACGACAAACAAACAACTTGGCTTAATTATGTGAGGAAATAAAGAACATTTGGATCTATGTCTAACAATTATATATTGATAATCTTATTATAGCGTAAAAACAAGGCATACTACCCGTTTCAAACAAAAGCAAAATACTGATGCATTGTAATTAGAGAGAAAAAACAAAAAAAAATGAGCTTAAACTCTGGCTGGTGCTTTGAAACAATTTTTCTGTTAGATACTTATACCTACCGTGCATCTTTCTTTAACTGTCTCGCTGTTGAGCCTTGTTATTGCAACAGTCTAATAATACATGCCGGAAACAGTCAATTGAACCACAACTGTGTTAATTTGTTTCACATTCAGACTGTAGTTTAGTTTATATATGCCTTTGAAAGTACCTTTACAACTGTGTTAATTTGTTTCACATTCAGACTGTAGTTTAGTTTATATATGCCTTTGAAAGTACCTTTACAACTGTGTTAATTTGTTTCACATTCAGCCTGTAGTTCAGTTTATATATGCCTTTGAAAGTACCTTTACAACTGTGTTAATTTGTTTCACATTCAGACTGTAGTTTAGTTTATATATGCCTTTGAAAGTACCTTTACAACTGTGTTAATTTGTTTCACATTCAGCCTGTAGTTCAGTTTATATATGCCTTTGAAAGTACCTTTACAACTATGTTAATTTGTTCCACATTCAGACTGTAGTTTAGTTTATATATGCCTTTGAAAGTACCTTTACAACTGTGTTAATTTGTTTCACATTCAGCCTATAGTTTAGTTTATACATGTCTTTGAAAGTACCTTTACGTTCGCATACAGTAAGTTTCAATTAATGTTAAAAGCCGATACATCGATTAATAAAGAAAAAAAATCTGGAATTAGGTGGTGTTTTTTTGTTTTATTAATGCTCTGTAGAATTTATTTGCTGTTAGTTTTGTGAAATAATGTTTTGTACTGATGACAAATTAGCATACATTTGCTATTACCTATTGTTTATTGCGTATCATGTTCATTGTATGTGTATTATCTGTGACTTTTCATAATTATTTCCAGTACTGTATGTGTATTATTTTAGATGCTTATAAACATTGTACAGTTTGTTGAAACGTTTTTCATTTTCTTAATTCTTTCATCGTGTAATGAAACAAAGAATATAACTAACATAGTTTGTTTACTAATGTACGTTTTATTACACATTTGACAAATTAATAATATATAAAAGATCGAATCCATTTTGCTATTATCATAGAAATTCAAATAACGCACACATATTCCATGTTTTAAACAAACGTTTAGGTTGAGGAAAATACTTACATTAAGCATTTTTAATATCATTATATTACATAGGTTCACAGGAAGTATTTTATTAAGTATTACAAAATAAACTGAAAACATAACAAAAACGACTAAAGAATGAAACGAGTATTTGAAAAATAATTAATTTTACGCTATTATAATGCTAAATAATTCACTGACAGCTCACAAAAGACGAAACTATAATAAACGTTTTTATTTGTATAAAAGAACTACCGTTAACCTTGCTAATGAGGTTATATCGTATATAGACGTCTTGTATTAGATCACATTATGGCGTTTAGAACGAAAGGAAATACATTACGTAATTATCCTTTGATAATTAACAATCTTTCAAGTATAAAATCTCCAAATAACTCAAGTCTATCCATTGGACTATCTGCATAGACAGGGTAGGTGAAATTAAGGAACTGTTCATTGTTAACTAGAATCAGATATCTGTAGGTACTGCACTGATGAATAACAAGTTGATATTCTTGATCTGTAAACACGAACGGCCAATCGTATTTATAGTCTAAATAGAGATCTAAATCTTCAAGTTCATTACCCGTTCTTCGGTAGAGGGATGTTGATCGGTAGTAACTGTAGGGCGAGTGTCGATAAATTGAGATGTAGAAATTGATGGATCCATCCACGTAGTTATGCGCGTTCCTTACCATTACGGAGATTCTGTAGATTAGTAGAAAAAACTCTTCATATGTTCTGCTATATCAGTGTATGCTGTAATTATATAATTACTGATTATAGAGGGTTGAGTACGTTATATTAAAATGATTTCGGAGCCTCACCAGTAGTTACAGTTCATATCGCCACGTCTCGTCATGCTCTATCTGATAATATTGCATTTTGATAATAGTCCTATCACACCACTCCTCCCTACATGCTTTCCATAATCCATCACGTGTACGAGGACGACGGTTTCCTACCACCCGTTTCAACAGTCCACTCGCACTAAAATCCATAGTCATGAATACCCCTTTTATTCTCTTACTCCTTGTGTTGTGGGAGAGTTTAACGGAAGGTATGACTGAAAGCTTTATATTGGTGAAGCCATACCCTGTTTGCCTCGCTTTCGTATAAAACTGGTATTTATGCATGGTACAAAGGGTCCAGAACGTTGATCTAATAGTAAATAGAGTTCACATTGCCTTTGATGCCACTCTCCTGACCCCTGACACTGTTTAGTGACATACCGTGTAGCACTTAAAAAACAAACGAAAACTTTTGCACCTATTTACTGGTCGAAAATGCGATGAGACTTGTTAGAGTTTATTTACTTGTTAATTTCTTTTATCCATCATAACATGAATTTAGTGACAAAATAAAATGACTTAGAGGCCTAATCTATTCTTTGATTCACCACTTCCGCTGCAGCAGACTAGTTTCTCTAAACTCACAGCTTATTGGTTATGCTTGAAAGAATGGAGCAAGTAAATAAAGTAAGCTTCATATAGTGGTGGAATGTAAGGAGTTTGTTTGGTTGTGATATATAGTCCTTTATTCACCACAAATAACCTAGTTATTACGTGAGTGTATGAATATCTGGCGTCGGTAATAGCTGTTACATAAATCACCCAAATACATTAAGTATCCGGTAGCATCATACTACTTACAGAATGACAATGTTAAGATGAAGTTTTGTTACATGCCATTCCACTGCGACTTGCTATCGACTGTGTTCTCACAGACTTGGTGATTTTTATGTCTCCGCAGAAAGACATGCTTTTTCTCTATTGTTTCTTCTTCTTTCTTTGCCCACCAGTGGCACAGTGGTATGTCTGCGGACTTATACTGCTAGAAACCGGGCTTCGATACCCGTGGTGGGCTTTGTACTTAATAAGAAACAACAACATTCTTCTTTCTTCGTCTTCCAAACACTTTTCAATTGATTACCATTCCTTCATTTCTCGGCGGATTAACTTGAAAGTTAATAGGGTTATACCTTGGTGAAATACGCCCAGACACCTTTTTTTCACTTCTTTGATTCAGGCCCTTTTTACGAATTTTATGGAGACGAAAATCAAACAACCCGAAAATGTATATGTTGGGCTCCTGCGCTGTCATATTTACAAGAATCAATATGAAAATAACCATAAATATAAATTTTCATGCATCCAACACATTGACTAGAAAAAAGGTTGGATTTGCCCATTTTGAGCTCACAAACTAGCATAATTTTAGGGGTTTTGATCAATTATTAAGCCATATTTTGCAAATTTACATCGAATTTGGTCCAAAAATACTTTTCTACAGGTCCCACACAGTGACAAACAAAAATGATGGATTTGCCCATTTGTGGTAATTACAGGGGATTAAGATGCCATTAAAAGCATAATTTTTTGGGGATTTTTGACAATTACTCCGCCGTATTTCGGCCAATTTACATGGGATTGGGTACAAAGATACTTTTTACAGGTCTCATACATATACATACAAAAATGTGGGATATGTTCACTTTCGGTCAAAATGTCAAATAAACCTATAATTTTAAAGGGTTTGGTCATTTACTCAGCCATATTTCGACCATATACGGGGGATTTAGTACAAAAAATTTTTTTGCAGGTCCCAAACAGAGGTATAGTTAATTCTGGAATTCAATTTTTCAAATAGTAAAGCACAATTTGAGGTTTTCGTGAATTATTCATGTATATGTCAACCAGTTTACATGGGAATTGGTGCAAAGGTAACTTCTTGTAGGTTCTAAGCAGTGATATAGACAACTTTAGATTTTCTGTGTTTTTCATGATTTTTCTGGTGTCAATATTGGCCATGTTGGGATTGCGTGGCGGAAACGTGTTGCATTCGCCCGCGAAATTTGACCTCTTTAATCATTTTCAAAATCTTTTTAATATAATGTATGCATCCCTCTGTATTATTTTTGTATCACTTTCAAAAATTAAATTACGCTCATCTGATTCCGATATAGAAATAGTTTTGAAGAATATTTACATCATGTGAAGTTATGGGCAAATATCACATCACAAAATCATCCTTTTACTATTATCGTTATTAGTTTCCTTCATTATATTTGTAAAGCTTTTTATTTACTTTTCCAATATCTTTTAAATGTTCACTACTTTATATAATATTTACATAAAATCGATCTCATTTTGTGTTGATAGTTACTATTTATCGTTATTTTAAAACGGTTTATAGTTGTATTTTATGTGTGTTTTTGTTGTTGTTTTTCTTTACATTAATATTTCTTGTTAGGCCTTATGATAACTTGAATTGTCCAATAGTTTCAATGTGGTTAAAGCTTACCTATCTGGCAATGAAGTCACATGAATCAAGCTAGACTTTGATTGTGTAAAATAAAATTAATTTTTACTCTGTTTATATTTATGTTAAGACCAATGCGAACGGCATTACAAAACAACATAGTAAAATTTTAACAGAATTTGGAGTTGATACAAATATTAACAATAATGTAATTCACAAGTTATTCTGGATTCCTAAGCTTCACAAATCATCTTATTAATACAGATTCATAGCTGGAGCCAAAATAGCCACTACTCGGTATTTATTAATTTTAATAAGTAGAGTTCTTAATTACATGAAAGAACACTTCAAGAAATGTTCTAAATTATAAGAGAAAAGATAGGCATGAATATGTACATAATTATAGAAAATTACACAAATTTCAAACAAAAATTAGAATCTTTCACAGTTAAATCTATCGAAACATCAGATTTCAGCAACCTTTATACAAGCCTACCCTTACACGAAATTAGTAAAAAAAAAAAAAACAACAAGTCTGCAATTAATTAATAAATCTTTTAACAAAGCAGGTAAATTAATGATTTGCATAGGTGATACTTATAGACGCTTCTTTGACAACACTCATCATAAAAATTATCACTGTTTTACATTGAACGAATTCATACAAACCGTAACTTTTAACTGAACACATACGTCACACATCTTTAAACAAACAGTTGGGTGATAATAACTTCTGTCCAGGACCAGCAGATTTACTTCTTTTTCAACTTGAATATCAATAAATCACATAAATTCTCAAGAAGGATTACTATAAAGCTTTTAAAAATTAACGGAACATTCAGATACATCGATGACATTGTAGCACTAAACCGGTCAAATTTTCTTGATATAATCATTTCCAGACATAAACACATTCGATTTGCTAGAATCTGTTGTAAGTTTGAAGTTTCTACAGAAAAAGCTAGAACATTAATACATAAACTTCTGAGTAGAAGTTTTTCTTTCAATAAGTTATATAGAGCTATTTTTTTTTATTTTTGAGCTAAACATAAAACGTATTTGGTCCCTACATCACAGCTTATATATGTTCAATTTTACCTTTAATGAAAAGAACTATGTAATCATCATCATACAGTCGATCCAATGTATAATACCGAATAATAAATTTGGCACAATGCCATAGTATTATATATATATACCCACATTAATTTAGGTTACTAAATGGTGAGTTAAAAGGACATAGAAAGTCCTTCAACAACACGTAAATTTATATGTGTTTCTGTAATTTATAGCAACTTACAAAATTGAATTTAATTAATTCATATGTATTTTATTTTGTAGTGTTTGATTGCTTTAATATATAACATTAAATGTCTTAATAATAACTACATAGACCAAATATGATGAGCACGATACTCGAAGCTTTACGTGTGACAAGTTTACTTCGCTATTTAATAATTCACTAAGCAACCCAAATCGAAATCTGGCTGTTCTGTAACGCAGCTCTGATTTACCAAGTTTGATATTATTAAATCAGATCCTGTGCACCACACGTTTTATTCATCTGCACACTTTGTCCACTCGCTCAACTCTATAGCTTCACTCTCAATTTGCTCCTCGTTTAAATGGATGCCGTTTATTTCTTCCTCCGAATACTTTGGCTTAAAATTATATCCAGTAAGTACTCCCTACTGCATGTTCATTGTTAATTTTTAGTAGCAGTTACTTTTTTTTACAGAAACCTTTGCTCTAATTGAATACAAAACTCGATGGGTTATAAATCAGAATAGACTTAGTAACGTTACGGACCTTTCCAACACGACCCCTACCTGTGAGGACTTTCGTGGCGTTTGGCAAAAAATTGATTTAGCCATATCTTGAAAATTATTGAACTGATGACGAAAAAATTATCACTAATTGTAATTTTTATTGAATATTTTTTAGCGGCTCTTCCCGTGGAAGTTATTACATACATACTTGTTTTTCAGTCGTTTAAACCATCAGTAAATTTTGTCTTAGATTTCCATTACTAGACGGGTCACAGTACTATAATTTTGTTGGTAATACAGTTATTATGAAGTTTAGTTTGCCTATTCAAACATTAACAACTCGATAAATAATCATCAATGGGCTATAATATTTGAACTAAAGTAGCGATGGAAAAGTGGTTTAAATGCTAAAGTAGTTGTCACCAGAGAATGCTGATTGTTTACTTTGCACAGACAACGCAATAACGGTGTTTGATGTGACTACTATTCATATCCACTGTCTATTCTTTTCTATATTCAGTGAGATGGCGATAGTGTCCGATTTCCAACACCTGCGCTCACTGTTATGTAGTCTACAAGGTCGCGTCACAGCACAGCAAGAACCCGAATTTCTGCGAAACAAGATCTACTTTGTTTGTTTGTTTGTAATTAAGCACAAAGCTACACAATAGACTATCT